CTATCCTTTTAGACAGAATGAACGAAGCTAAAAACAAAACATGATAAAAAGTCTCCTAATCTTTCCTTACCTATTCACCATTCAAAAAGCTATTATTTATTAATCAAATGTTATTTTCAATTAAGCCTAGTGGATAGTTATTCTCAAGAAATATTATTTTAAGCCGATTCAGTTCATTGTCAAAATGGTCTACATTGTCTAGTCTTATGCTCCGAATAATCATAGATTTTAAAACTCCAACCTTTGTTTTGGAATCATGATTGTAGAAGTTGAATATAAAGCTTTCTATGTACATTCATGCTTAACTTCTCACCTGCTCTGAGCACTAAGATATCTAAAAAGGATAAAGTATTGTTGACCCCCATCTCCATTGTCAACTTAAGGTTGCAATCAATCTGGTTAGTTAAAAGGAAGAAATTATCTAAACTATCATTGCCATGCTGCCATATGGCAAAGTAGTCATCCATATATTTAACTAATAGTTTGGGTGTCAATTTTACCTCTTCCATCAAATGCTCCTCTATTCTTGACATGTAATTATCAGCCAAAATGGGAGCCAAGCAAGACCCCATTTCTAAGCCTTGCACCTGCTCATAAACTTTATCATTATAGGTGAAATATGTGCTGTTCATGGATAGATTAAGAAGCCTTAAGATTGAGCTTTTGCTCAGATTTGTTTCCCCAATAATTTGTTAAGCTCATCAAGACTAAGTGTAATTGCTTCAATAGCTTTATGAACTGGGGTGTTAGTAAACATTGGTACAACATCAAAACTAAACAAAAGATCCTCCTCTTTAATATTCTGTTGATCTATTAATCTAGCAAATTCATATGAATTCTAAACTGAATATTTCCGATACTCAGCCAATTTCCTTATTTGTCTACAGAAGAAACTGAGTTCCTATGCATCACAGTACCCTTGTTATAAACAATCAATTGTAAAGGAACTCCTTCCTTTCGTATTTTTGGAAGGCCGTAAGCCGAAGGTGCCTTAGCATCTCTCTGATGAAGTGAATTTATTTTCCACTTCTCAATTTCTCCTTTCCTTACACAAACGTTAAGCGATTCCCTAAGTTTGGTCTTACGACTTTCTGTGGGTTCTTTGAGTAAAGTTCTGTACGTTTCTGAGTCAATTAGATGAGATGT